ACTATTTAAAACCCAGAATAATATTTATTGCCTATTTGTATAATAGCAAAACAAATCCTTTATTAAAAACCCTTTAATTTTATGTTTTAAATACTATGATCTTTTAAATTTAATTTAATTCTAACTATTGTATCCATATTTAAATTTATTATTTAAATTTTAAATTCTAAAATATGATAAACAGTAAACATTTTTATTTTTGTTTTATTTAACATTAATAATTATTATAGATTGAGTTTGTACACAATAATAATGTTGCTCAAGAAAGTAACAAAGTGGGGGAGTAAAATTATCTTGTTAGGATTAACCTTGTAAATATTAATTCTTTATGTTATAGAATTAATATGTATGGGATCTATAAACATTAACAAATATTATCATTCTGGATTGAAATTAAAAATTATTGTTTTCTTTATTGATTGTGAATATGAAAATAATTATTAAATACAACAGTGTACTATTAAATTGTGCGTTGCATACAACTAAATTGTATTAATTATTATTGTAGTGAATAATTAGCAAAAACAATATTTGTTTGGTCACAGAAAAAATTAATTTCCATTTATCTCAATCACACTCTACTCGATGCGAATCGCATAGCCATTACGCTTACGGCTGACATACCGTACGACAGCCCAAACTAACGCACCGGATATTAGCAAGGTGGTCATCCCAACAAGCACTATCCAGCCAATCCACGCTATATATTATTTAAAATTAATTTTATTAATTTAATCAGTTTAGCGCATATACTAATTTGAACGCTTGCACTCACCACCTCTATTAGTCACTCTGGGCGGACACGTGGGCATAGGGTTGCAGTCCCTTTCATCGGACCAATCGCCACAATCGTCGACCCCATCGCACCGGAAATTGGGCAAGATACAACGTTGGTCATTGTCGCACATTTTCTCGCACACTGTACAAATGTTCAGGTAGTTTAAAAGCAAAAGAATTATATTGTAAAAAGTATACAGAACATCTAAATTAATATGCTAAAACAATATTGCTATACTTTTAGTCAATAATTAAAAGTAACCCTACAAACTGTAATAATGTGTTCGATATGACCTTTTAATTACTGTCAAAGTGTAACATTGATGTTATGGTTGGGTAAACAAAATGGGTGTATATATTTTGGTTAATTTTTGATATGATTCTTATTAATTATTTAATATAATTTTAAAGTGTTAAATTTATTAATAACTATTTATTACTAGTAATATAATAACAAACTTACCTCGTGCCTTTACGGTAAATGTGGGTTGGTTAATAAGTCCACCATCGGTGTGGTTTAGAACAATCACCATAGTGTTTGTTGATGTTGAATGCCAATAATCCCATCTGCCTTTCACGAATTTCCGATCACCCCGGCGCGTTTTCGAGTCATACACATCCCATCGGGTATAAGCAGGTATATCCGCCAGATAATTAATTACCAAATGCCGATCTGTGTCATACGGATATTGATCAGGGTCCCTTTGAGCAGTAACGGTAAGAACGCACCGGTAGTCTAATTGGCTACCGGTTGTCACGGGCTTTATTGTTATCTGCTGACCGAGTCTAACAATGTAGGCGCCACCGCAATTGCCCGGAGTTATCCTGGCTTTTATACCACGTCCACTAATACTACCATGATAGGGTGGCAACATGGGATCGTATGGGGGCACTATAGTACGAGTGTCCATCGTGATGTTAAATGGTAGTGGCAGTACCATATCGGCTGGCATTTTATCAGGCTCATAATTCCTGTTGTACAGTTGGTTGTTTAACGATAAACTATGCGTCGCAGCCAGTTCAATGTCACTGAAAGTGATTAGGGCCATAGTCCAATTTGGTCCATTTCCCGTAGAAATCTCACCATTCATCTGCCAGTTAAAAATGCTGCCAACTGGGTAATTGCCAGGATGGTTAGGGGTGTTTACGGTCAACTCGTGATCATTAAACGTAATGTTTTTATCCATCACATCCCGGTTTGTGTACTCGACCGATAGGGTGACCAGCAGTGGGCGTACAGAGTAGACATTGTCAGAACGCCACACTTGCAACGTGTACGTTTCATTAGCTGCCAATATTACATCGGGCATATTTGTCATGAGACCAATATCTGTTAAACATGGTTAAGCCAAACGATTAGTGTTTGTTATATAAAAGTAGAAACTTGTTTAAAAATTTTGCATTACTGATAATCCCAATGATGGACTCGTAACCTTGACCTTGGTACATGGAACCTTTATACAAGGTAATCCAATCGTCAGGGGTGGCATGCTTGATCTCGGTCCAGCGCAAAATTACCGACGTGTTTGTCCGGTCAGGTCGACCGGGCATAAGTAGCCAGCATCTTTTAAGTGACTGTGTGTTAACATTAAAACCAGTGATTGAATGCCAGTCGGCGGTAGTGTTACAATTGCCTTCCCTCAGCACACGGCGCACAACGAGCTGATAGTCGACCCATTGGTTTAACACTAGTTTCAATTGATTAGTGTTTGACGGTATTATTGATGGTCCGTATGAGCCCGAGTATAGTGTGATTAACTTGTGACGATTGCTGACATCTCTATCCACGTTATTGTAGACATCAAATAGCGGCTGATTGGATGAGCCTGGTAGGATTACCGAAGCGTTTAGCTCCAATACTAATTGGTGATCGTTGTCCGTTTCAAACGTGTATATACCGGGATTTGACTGTATGTGTGTTGTTGTGTTCATGTTTATTCTTAACTGATATGTCAGTTCATCACTCGGAAATTTATAATTGCTGCCTGTTAAAATAAAATAGAATAGTTACATTGTAATCTACAATAAATTATTAATAACAATTTAATTAGAGTCAGTTAATAAAGAATAATAATAGTTAATAAATCTATACCGCAACTGATCTTAATTAAACAAATATATCATTAATGTTAGTTATTAATATTATTTTGTTCTAATCCTACAAACTGTGATAATACATGTAACATTCAAACTATAATTATCTTTATATTTAAAAAGTAATATTATTTTTATGGTTTCCAAACTAAATGCTATCATTTTAAAATTATTTTATAAATAATTTATTAATAAACACATGTATAGTATGTAGCAATTCAATTTATCAATGCCTACCATGATACACCGTCTGTATGCCAATTAAATTATCATCGCTACGAGTAGTGTTGACCACACGTCTCGACTCATACGTTACAGTTATGGTGTTTGTTGTCGATTGCAAATACTTTGTGCGCCAATACGTGTCCAGCAGTTGACGTTCAATGACTGCGAGCGGAGGGCACTGTTGGGACAGACCGTCCGATACGGTCATAATGTCGGCGCTGTTTATAAACGCCTTAAATTGGTCTAATTGTAGCTCAAATCTGGCCAAAACATCATGGTGTTCGTAAATGTTGACACATTTAAACTGGTGTAATGTTTGCAACGCTTGGGTATCGGGCAGGAGTACAGTGGTGACATTTTGGGTCTCGGTTATCTTAAAATAAAAATTTTTATTTTATTAATGTCTTTACTTACTTACTTAATGTCTTACTTTGTTAGTATTTTTTTATAAATTACAAAATAACATTTAATAAGTTACTTGTACATAAAATAATTTACGTTAGATATTTATAAATAATATAAATGTTACATGAATAATAATAATCAGAGAATTGCATTATAGTTATATATAAGACCCCAAATAGTCACTATAATAGTTACGAAAAACACCTCAAATAGTTACTTAAATAGTTAGTTATAAAATTATAAAATAAACACAAAATTCATTGTAAACTGTTAAAACTGGTTATTTGTAATGTTTATTACACTAAATCTAGTATCTAATCAGTTAATTTACTGAAATTTAACTAATTTAATAAAGAATTCATATTGTGCTCTGCCATATCTCCTCAGATCATCCTTAAAATTACGACACTTTTGATAATTTCAATGTTTTAAGGATAAAATGCAATACCAAATACCATGATATTTCTATTTTTTAACATTTTATATTTATTTTCATTACTAAAATTTCTTTTTGTTTCAATTCTATCTCAAATATTTCTATTTTAAGCTAAAATTCACTCTATTTTACAATATAGTTAAAATAGTTACTAACGTCTCAAATAGTTAAATATAGTTAAAATAAACTTTCAGTAAACTGACCCCCAATACATGATCGGTTCAAATCCAGAGTCTGGGGGTAACACTATTAACCGCTAAATATAGTTGCTATAGTTAAATGCAATTTCCTGATAATAATGCATGGTATCTAAAAACATAACATTATGCAAACTGTAAATATAAAGTGTTTATATAGTAAACTGTTACGATTTTTAAAATATATACATTGTTATATTGTTTCCATTTGAAATCCCGGAAATTTGTTCTTGGTTACTTTTCTATAAGAAATAATCAATGCATTTAAAAGTAATTTTGTGTGATGAATGAGTATTTATCAGAGTTTAATTTTATGTAATAATATAATTTTTATGTCTATTGGTTGATAAATGGTGGACATCTAAAGACAATGATGTCTAAAGTTGCTTTGGCACATTTATTAAATAAGTATAACCATTAATTTACTAAATATACACTAAATTTATATCAAATTAGAAATTTTCTAATAAATAAAATCTTTATTTATATTTAAATTGAAAAATTAATAATAGTTAACACACTTAAAGACATCTAAATTACAATTAACTAATTATAAATTTCATTATAAAAATATTTGTTCAAAAATATTTTTTCAATGTTAAACTCCATTGAACTTTACATTGATTCACTAAAAGTGCCAAAATTAATTTAGACATCATTGTCTTTAGATGTCCACAATTTCTCAACCAATAGACATTAAAATTATATTATTACATAAAATTGAACATGGATAAATACTTATTCATTACACAAAATTTCTTTTAAATACATTGATTATTTCTTATAAAAAAAATAACCAAGTACAAATTTCCGGGATTTCAAATGGAAACAATATATAAATATATACACTTTCCTAAATTGTTATAAACGGTTGAAATTGACGACTATTAATTATTATGCATTACTTTTTATTAAATTGCTTTTTCGACTGGTGACTTTTTAGCCTGTACCTGGTCAAAAGAGGTTTCATTAAAGTTATTTATTAAAATATTTAAATATAATTATCTATTGATATTTTAACTAATAAACATACTAAATTATTACTGTGAATATAATTTTTAATTACTATCATATTTTAATAATTTATTTTTCATAAACTGTAACAACTTGATATGTATCTCATTTCTAATTGCTAAATAAAAATTATTATTATTATAACTCTTATACCACTTATAAAATATTATAGATTAATATACTATGTTGGAATTAAATCAGAAGATTATAAATTAAAATATATTTTAATTAGATGCTTATGCCTTATAATTACTGTACTTCATTTAAAAATTAAATTTTGAATGATAAAACTTAAAATTACTTCAATTTCTATGTTCTTTTATTAAAATTATTGGAATGGCTATAAATATTTATTTTTATTCTTTAACAGTAAATACTGTAATAAAATCTAAATAACACCAAAAATATTCTATAAATAAAATATAATATATTCTAATGGACAACAAACGACGCGCCTATTTTTAATTATTGTTAAAAATAAGGTAACTTTTTGTTTATGTCATACCTGTTTGTATTAATGTTTTTATATTCAATATTAAATACTGTAATAAAATCCAAATAACATAGAAGTATTGTATGAATAAAATATAATTTATTCTAATGGGTGGTGAACCAGAGACAAATTTTTAATTAATGCCTAAAATATAATAACTTTATGTTAATGTCATACTCACTAATCGGCGCAGGGGCCACTGTAGGGCAACTTTTGCATAGTGAGGTTATACTTAAGTTATAGCATGACTAATGTTATCAAATATGAATTTGTCTATACATTGCTATATTTATAACTCATACAATACTGACTATTTACTATTACATTTCAACATGCGGATACCTGGTCATACCTGTTTGTATTGACTGCACTGCGAGTCCACCACTTCGTACATGAACCTGATGTTCGCACTACTCGTCGACTCACGTCTATAGCCTCTAATCATAACCACTATCTGTTGACCCGTCGACAGCAAAAACTCCGGTCGAGTAGTATTGCTATCAAACAACTGTTCCATTCCATACTTCTCAACCTGGTAGAATCTGATTGTACCACCATTCAAATGACCAGGTTCCATACTTATCAGTAGCTTAGATTGCGCATGTCTGCTCTCAAACACCAAATCAAAGTCAAGGCCAGTCGACGGGAATTTCATATCCCGGTGCGAATATGGAAACACATACCGACCCGGACTGTCAATACGGGTCAGTTGTGCCCTCAGGTCCTTAGTATTGTAGTCAACGTCCCATTTGCGGTCCCAGGGGTCAGATGACAGGGTCAAGGTTACTCTCACCACTTTATGCCCGGTAGGCAATAGAATTACACCTGGCTCCAATTGACCGTAGTGTTCGTAGAGCACAGATTTTCCATCGCGAGTAGTGACTCTGAGCAAATCCCTGCTATTCAAGGTCATGGCCTGAATGTCCATGTGTATTATGGCCGGTACCCACGCGCCGGTCCCGTTGATGAGCCACTCGCAGGTATGACCGGCCAGTTTGTGGGGCGCGATATTAATGGCGAGTTTACCGGTCGGGGCATTGAGTGTGGGACGAGGTTTATCCGGATTGCAATCTATTAATAAATGTTATCTTTATTGGTAATTTTAATTAGCAATGTTGGTCATTTGTCTACAAGCGAATAATTTTTTAACATACCTGTGCCCAAATGCTCATTGCCTTTAGCAATTGATCCTGATATAATAATTAACAAACTTATAATTGTAAACTTGTCCATTCTTATTAACAGCAAGGACAAAACAAAGACAGTTATAGTTGTATAACAAAGACTGGAACTAATGTCATGACTACAATAATGATTTATTAGATTTATAATAAACAACAAACAACAACAAATATATTATATAATAAATTAAAGCATATAATATAATTAATACATTTATTATTACCTTATATTTAGCAAGCACAGTTAAATATTAAAACATTGATTGTCAATGGTTACCAACTTTCAATACAAACAGTTTATTAAAAAATATTTTATTTGATAATAAACAAAATAATACATTTACTTTATTTAGGAGGTGCATTAAAATTTAAAGTTATTTTATTGTTTAAAGAATTATAAATATTTTTTATAATTCGTTTTATTTACATAAATAGTTACATTTATTTTTAATGTCTATATAAAGAAATTCCTATTATCTACAAAAGTAAAAACTGGCATAACTGGAATAACATTATTCCCATAGATTTGACTTTAACTATAGGATTAAAATTACTCTCATTGAAAAAATGTAGAAAAGGCAAAATCCCATAGACTTAACATAGTAATTGAAAAAACTATTTTCGTCATAATGTTTTGATTTCCCATAAGAAAAATTTTCCATAATATTAGTACACGAAAAGCCAAGGAAAATAATTTTGATAGGATTAATATTGTCTATGTTAAATCTATGTCATAGGATTAACATGCATCTCATGTTATTTTCCATGGGAATAAGGAAGAGAGAGGGAGGCGGATTAAATCTATAAACTTCTATTATACTCTGAATTGAAGTTAAAAATTATTATTGAGCATTGTAACTATGAAAATAATTATTAAATACAACAGTATACTTTAAAATTGTGCATTGCATCAAGTTACATTTGCATTAATTTTTATTGTAGTGACAATAATTAACAAAAACAAAATTTTGTTCGGCTACAAAAAATTAATTTGCAGTTATCCCGATCACTCTACTCGATGCGAATCGCGTAACCATTACGCTTACGGGTGACATACCGTATGACAGCCCAAACTAATACACCGGATATTAACAAGGTGGTTATCCCAGCAAGGGCTATCCAGCCGATCCAGGCTATATATAATTTAAAATCAATTTAATTAATTAAATCAGTTTTAGCATATACAAATTTGAACCGTTGCACTCACCACCTCTATTGGTCACTCTGGGCGGACACGTGGGCATAGGGTTGCAATTCCTTTCATCGGACCAATCGCCACAATCGTCGACCCCATTGCACCGGAAATTGGGTAATAAACAACGTTGCCCATTGTCACACATTTTTGCGCAAACTGTAAAAATGTCCAGGTAGTTTAAAATTAAAGGAAATATATGGCAAAAATACGCAACATATTTAATTTAATATAAAAAATTAAAAAAGTGTTGTTATATTTTTACTTTATTAGAAAAATATAAAATATAGTTTTTTCTAATACTGAAAACTGTAACAATGTATACAATATGACAATATAATTATTGTCAAAGAGTAACATTTATGTTATGGTTATAGCCGTGAAGTAAAATAAATTTTTTTGTAAATTTATAACAAAATTATGAATTACTATTTGTATTAAAAATCTTAACAATTATTTATTACTAATAATGTATAAACAAACTAACCTTGTGCCTTTACGGTTAATGTGGGCTCGTATAGACGACCATTATAGGTGTGGTTTAGAAGAACAATCATAGTATTTGTCGATGTGGTATACCAATAATTCCATACGTGATCATGTTTTAATTTGCGATCATCCCGGAGCGTATTTGAGTCATAAACAACCCACGGGGTGGCATAGGGTGGATACATAAGCACTAAATGCCGATCAAACGGATAATGATCCGGGTCATCTTGAGCCGTAACTGTCAAAACGCACCGGACGTCTAATTGACTACCAGTGGTCACGCCCTTAATTGTTAACACTTGGCCGAGTTTAACAGTGTAGGCGCCGCCACAATTAGCTGGAGTTACCCTGGCTTTTATGCCCCGAGCACTTGTTTGACCAAAATGGTCGTATGGGAACATAGTACAAGTGTCCATCGTGATGTTAAATGGTAGTGGTACTACCATATCGGCCGGTAATTGATCGAGTTTGTTGCCAGTTTTGCGCTTGATCAATTGGTTATTTACCGATAGGCTATGATATACGTTCAGATCAATGTCATCAAACGTGATCAAAGCCATAGTCCATTTGGGTTCATTTCCCATAGAGTTATCGCTGTTCAGTAGCCAATGAAAAATGCTGCCAACGGGGTAATCGCCCGGATAGTTTTGGGTGCTCACGGTCAATTCATGATTGTTTAGCGTAATGTTCTTATTAATTACATT